TGAATTTTTTGTATCGTTGCACCCCTAGTATCTATCATAACTCCGTTTCGATATGAGCGCTTGTTGTTTTTTTTTATATATTTGCTGCTATGACAACTCAATTTCCCTCTGGGGAACACATTTTGATCAGTTTTACATTTGTGAATTAAACTGTAAAAGGGGTTGTTTTTTTTTTAAGGTTGCTTCTTTAAAAATGTATTTAAACAGACCTTAAATTGTATAACTGCGCGAACAAAATAACATTTCCTTGCATTGATTATTGTGTTTTCTTTGTTTAATTTCCATTGATTTGCATTTCCTTCGTTATGACGTACTAAATCATTAAAGCTCATACAGAATTCATTAAGAGTCATTTGGGTACCATGGAAAAAAACACATATTAACATGCTAATACACATTACACTGGACACCACTGAACATATGTTGTTGTTGCAACATTTGTAAATGTGTCCATACAGTTCATTCAGTATACTCAACATACTGAATATGAGGTTAATAGAATACCTCCTCAGATAACCTTTTTCTATTCAAGCTGCCCTTAGTCTGCTAAGGTGTTACTAAAACAACAAGTACATGATGTAACACATGTCTGCACTCAGAAGGATTACTGTGGCACAACCTGGCTGCTGCTGCTGTTCTTTATACAAACTAACATTGCTGCCTGAGCCGAGCTCCCACACATGTGAACAAAACACTCGACAAAGGGCCATCACCTCAGAATGCACATCAGCTCAGCACATGCGATGTTTTTCAAAGCAGTGGGAATTCATGTAAGTAAGTAATGATGGAGTCAGACACAGTTCTCACATCTTTAAAAATATATGCAAATTACCACTTAGGCTTTTCTATAAGAACAACTAATTTCCTACATCCACCTACTGTTTTGCTTGTAGGTGGATAACAAATCATTATGACACAAAGACAGTTTTCACCTTGTGTGTTTGATTTAAAGTTATTCCTTGATCCGACACATAGACACCTCGCACTAAGTTGAACAAAGTTATAGCAAGACTGAGTTCTCACTCGGATGTGCTCCAGTTACAGAGGAAGTTTGTTTCTGGATTTCGTTTTGATGAACAATTACCAAGGAAAAAAAGTAGAGGGGGCATTGTCACGGCAGAATAATGGTTTCATTTGGCAGTGCTGGGCATGCCGGGGGCCACCAGTTACTCTGTACTATTTTTTTTCCTGAGTCAGATTGCAGAGTGTATTATAGCCAGATACAGGGCAGATATAGGGAGCTGAGTGAGCAATGGCTAAAGTGTCAATTGCATTGCTGCCAGGCTCAGTTGGAAGGAATAAACAACAAACAGACCATACCTAACTTGAGCAACACCTTTTACAGACTCTTAAAGGCCAGTAGCAATTATCTCAAGGGAATGTTTTAAAAATGTATCTCCATGAAATAAAGCTAATCTGACTGAACTCTGACAGTAATGTAGAAGCAGTTTAAACCTCTGACTGAATTCTCCCAAATAACATGTATTAGTTTTTACACAAGTATCGACTACCAATATGTATGTGCAAACTATTTTTTTAATTTCTCATCAGCGTATAAAAATAAGGCTAGGCCACCAGCTGTTCATTCAACATTAGGCTTCATCTGAGCTAATGCGAGTCACTGAACTCAATATCACTCAATGTTTGTGGTGTTGGTGTCTTTTAGAGAAGTGTTTCCCAACCTTTTGGAGCCACAGCACATGTTTCACATTTGAAAAATGACACGGCACACCACCAAACAAAAATATCACAAAAAGCATGTTGATAATTTTCCCCTGTGCACGAATTATAGCAGAATTGGTTCGGTTTGTCCCAAGTATAACTTCTTCTGACCACTACTCATGCTAGGGCCTTCATCTGGGTCCGAATTTTCTCCAGGACCCAGGTTATATTGACTACTTTTTTCCCCAAGTATGTATCTATTGCTATTATATGCTGCATTGTCTAACTCATCGCATGACTTTTATGTAATTTCTTCTTCGTCTTCTTTAGTTTTACTGGCAGTTGGCAACCCATTTATTTAGAGCAGGTAGTTGTACTGCCCTCTAGTGGAAGAGAATGTAATCGTTCTGCCTGTTACTCATGCTGATCGCTTAGAGCAGCGGCCCCCAACCCCCGGGCCTCGGACCGGTACCGGTCCGTGAGTCGTTTGGTACCGGGCCGCGAGAGTTGAGGTTCGGGTGTGAAATGTATGGTTTTCAGGGTTTTTATTGGTTTTTAGCGTTATTTTGTTATCGTTTTTGTCGTTTACTCGGTTTTCCTGGGTCTTTTCACGTGTGTTATGAATAAATCTTCTTTTTTCGGTACCGGTACTAGTTTTATTTTGTTGTATTTATCCGCACCATCTTAAAGGCCGGTCCGTGAAAATATTGTCGGGCATAAACCAGTCCGTGGCGCAAAAAAGGTTGGAGACCGCTGGCTTAGAGTATCAGATATCTGTAACCAGATAATCTTCCACGGCACACCTGATCATTTCTCACGGCACACTGTTTCAGAGCACTTGTGATATAGTGACATTGCTTTACGTTTCCAAAATGCTCAAACTGAGGCTTAAAAATGGGAGTTGGGTGACCTAAATCGATCTCTAATACGGTAGAATTAAACCAGAAAAATGATGTTTGACACAAGTCAGTCAATTAAAGGTTATCCACATGCTGCATTTTATAGAATCAAACGTGTTTCGACTATGGACTGGGAAATTCTGCAATGCTTAAAAATGCAGAAAGAGACCAATCATGATATAAAAAATAGACCAGTTAAAATATGAAATCTCAAAAATGCTTTTTTGTAAGATAGCAATAGATCATCCACATAAAAGAACTGATCTGCACCCTTTAGCATCATTTTAAAAACCTTAGATCATTTTGTTGGCAACATTTTACAACTACAAATTCTACTTTATATAACTTTAAAGCTTTTTAATACCCTCTAAAACATCAGTGTTTTTTTAATAATTCTCTACACTTCAGTATAGAAGTATAGACAAACAATCACATGCACACACACAGAGAAAAACAGTAAAATCATATGAGCTTGAAGATAACATCAAAGAATACCACAAAAGGTTGTCTCACCCTTATTATCTCGCAGAGTGAAGTTAAGGTTACCAGCAGCAGGTCCTGCCAGGGCGAAATAAAAGCGATGACCACTCAAAGGTTCATCCTTATCCACTGCGCTGATTGTCTGGATCACCTGAGGAGAATGTTAACACAAAAAGACATTCAGCATCAGTTAGCTTGCTGAGTTTTATCTGATCTCTCGTGCTAAATAGGCGTTAATCAGGGTGTAAAATGCTTAATGTGGGTTTGCAGTTAGTAAGCTCACAATCTCCCTCAACTTGAAGAAAGCATTGTCATCAAGGCTTTTGTATATGCATCACATTTCACTCTGTCATAAATTTATGTACACGGAGGCATAAATCTTGTTTAAAAGGCCAGGCAACAGTGTGAGTGAACTGGAGAAAACCAACTTGATTCTGATTGATGGAAAGGATTTGTTTTATAATGTTTGGCTGTGGTTTTGTGTCATTTATCTCTTGAAGTACAGTAAGTGCTTATTTGGCAAGAGCTTGGCAACCTCTTAGGGATGAAGTGTTTTCTTTGGGGAAGTGATTTCTCTCAGCAAAACATTGTCCAGAGATTAGTTTTGCAGTCAGTGTAGAGACCACAACACATTTAGTGTGTTCAATTTTAACCCTTTGATGATTCTACAAAGGAAAGAAAATGCTATTCCCAAGTGTCAACTAACCACATGGCCTTAACTGTAGAGGTGGCAAAGTAAAAGTGGATCGCTGTCTGACAGTAAAGATATCCAATTAAAGTAATGGCAAAAACCAAAATATAATACTTTTTATGAAAGTAATAATAATGTACTATGCATTGTCCAGACCAGGAAAAACATCTGCTTTTATAGAGGTGCTCACAGTTAATCAACTAAGGATGTACTTAGTTTCCCCCATACTATGTACTTTAACTATGAAAGTGTGTTGGTAGCACTTTCCTTTAAAACTCATTGCCCCACTAATACCTATGACTATTATTGTTATTATCAAGCTGTAATGTAAAGAAGTGCTAAAAGTAGATTTATTAGAGCTGAAAGATATTTCTCAATTATAGTAATCAAAAGATTTATATGACAAAGCCAGACTCAGAAATTTAAGTAATCCAAAGGCACACGTCTATGCATAAAATAAAAATATATTCTTTGAAGAGGATTCTCTATGATATAATCTTTAAGGACTAAAAATACAATACTTCCTACATTATTTTATCACTGCATATTACAATAAATCTTGACACTCAACGTTTCATCAAAAATCGCAGCTTCTTAGATTTCAGTGGTAACCATCTGTGAAAGACTCTTCTATTAACTCTGTATTGCAAGATATGTATATTCATTTAAAACCAGTTTAAAGTCATACTGTTGCAAATGCATGTGGTCCTTTGGTCCATTGGATTGACATAGATTGTGGGCTTTAACTATGGGAAAAATGGACATTAAATTTTAGCTAACGCACTTCCGTAATGGGATATTTCAACACATCCTATTACTGTGTTGTCTGGTTCTGCAAACTACTGTGCATCTTAAAATTTAGGGATTATTTTTTGCTCTCAAATGCAGGTTACAAGTTTCGTTCAACCAACTTTTCAATTCACTTTGAGGATGATCATTATTTCCATTTGTTAATATTGATAGGTGCAATATGCGAAGCTGTATTTCTCCATTGTTGATATGCAAAAGTTTTTCTCTATGTACCTGTGTCTGGCTATGGGAGAGGTTTCTGATTTAGTTAATAAAGTATTCTGCTATTTAGGGTTCATCAAGAGTTTAATAAAGAGAAATTGCAAGGTATGAAGAGCAACCGTGTCGTAAAATTGGCTGTATTCATAGCTAAAAGTCAAAATCTCCCTCCGCTGCCAGACTGTGTATCAGTGATATCTGGTAATGACAATATGATGAAAGGAAATATACAGATACGACCGACCAATTCTAATACACACATCCCTCTTATTACATTATCTATCTGACCTGACCTTGGCCACCGCATTAAAAAATGAAGACAATATTAGGTCAGCGCACTGAACTGTTGTATTACTGATGCTCTTCAAAATAAATCCATCCAGCCAAGCATTCCTACTTCATTATTACGAGCATGAAAATAACTCATGATGAAAACTGATGTTGCTTGAGGCAATCCAAGAGAAGCATTCACATCTGTGGGTTAAAAATGAATGCAGTTTGTTTCAGTTCACTTTTTGCCTCTGAACCTCAAACTAAACCGAATCTTGCTCCTTCTATTATAGAAAACTATAAATAATGCAGGAAATCAGATTACAATTTATTTACGCCCACTAGCACATGCTGTAATGATTTTTTTTGTTTTTGTTTTTATTTATTCATACAAACGTGTTGTCTGAAAATCAATTTCTTGTTTTAGCCCCCCCCCTCTCCGCTAAAAAAAAAAAAAATCAAAGCAAAAAGACAAGGCTTTAATTTCAGCATCTAGTAGCAGAAAGAAAAAAACAAAAATAAAACAAAAAACGAGCAAAAATCTCACACAGTACACGCTGTACATGAGAAGCACATCAAACACCGAGATGCCATATGGACGACAAATGATAGCCACCACAACGGCCATCAAAGTGGGTGTTACTGCCGCAGTGTCCTTATAAATTTAGATCAAGCCTCCCGAATCCTTTGTAGGCAATCGAGAAACTCAACCCTGTGACAACTCACACCCGTGGACAGGATCCAAGAGATCCTTAGAAGCAATTCACACTAAATTATCACATCTCACAGCCCCAAACAGCTCTGAGTTGAACATCAGGACTAAAAGCAAAACAAAATGAAAAAATTAAAAGAGTGAGGAAGTAGAAAAAAAATAAAAACAACCCCAATGATCCATACTGAGACATGGATTATCAGTTGTCAGCTGTGATTAAATGCTGCTGGTTACAAGCTGTCAGGTATTAGGGATTTGTGTAGGTGGTAAGCGACATCCTGCCAATTATTAAAACTGGCAGGCGGGGTGAAATACCATGAATATTTTACTCTTATTTCTTAACAAAATTAAAATATTTGCATCAGCAAGTATTTAAAAAAGTGTCTCTGTTTGCTGTTTAGTTTTGCAGTACAAGGGGAATTTATACGGGGAGCAGAAATGCAAAAAGGTTATCTGCGCTAGTTCTCAAGAACATTTGGGATATCTGTATATACAGACAGAAGTGATGTTTGTGTCATTGCAGATCAGTGACAGGCAAACTCAACAATTGAGCACCTAAACATGCAGCGTATGCATGCTCGGCTGCATATCGGCAAAGCTGCCACTGATCCTGGGATCATAATAACTCACATGCCTCTCACTCTGTTATGGAAATTTCACATCTGATAGAAGCCTTTCTTTGTGGTTCCTACACCGCCGATGAATCCAATACACATTTTGAACCCTTTGATGTCCTTTGAATATTGCGGATGGATTCTGAGCTTATCTCTAGGAAGCTTTCCATTCCTCACGGCTGAGGGAAAGGACTCTAAATCATTCTTAAATCAAACACTTTGTAATGTATAATGCCTTTCATTAATGGGGCTCTGATGCAAGGATGCACTGAACCTTTGGTGGGGAATCCTCAATTGGGTTGAGTAGGAGACAGGAGGAGAGAGGCATGGCTGCGGACATAAATTCTCGCTCAAAGACATTAACAGCTGCAGCCGACTGGTGCCTGTCGCAAGCAACGGCTGAGGAGGCCTATGAATCACCGAATTAAAGGGGTTTTTGAGTTTACACATGGCTGCGTGTCAGACCACACCGGATATTAAAGGACAAAGGTGTCTCTGTTTGTTGCCTTCAAAGGGAAGTAAGAGAATGTGCAGTACACAGAGGAATGTATGCACATTTGTATTGTAAAAGTGGGATGTTACTCAAACTCACTAAATTTTAACCAAATTATTCATAAAATGAACAAAAAAAACCAAACAGAAAACCAGAAGGGACTGAGCTCATTTTGGAGAGTGCCTTTTGGGGCCTTTTGAAAAAAAAAGTTTTCATAGGAGTCATAGAATAAATCAGGAACTTATACCTATAACCTATAACACTTAGATTTTTATCAGCAGTAACTTAAATGAATCATTTTCTGTAAGTCTTTCACTTTGTTATAGAGGAATTTTGGCCTACAGTTCATTGAGGTTTGTGGACCTTTTTTCATGCACAGCTCTCTTCACGACACCATTTCAGTCAGGTTGAAATCTGGAATTTTGTGTGATCCAATTTATGGTCTCTTCTTCTTTTTTAATCAAGCTGCTGCACTGACTTCTTTTTTAATTAAATGTTTTCTTTTGTAATCATTTTATTATTTTTCTGTATATTTCTAATATTTTTTCTTCTTATGTATTTCTCACATGTATTATTTTAAGACAGGTGGGGATTACGGTTCCTCCCCCCTGTCTTTATCATTAATGGTCTAGTCCAGTTTTACTTGGGCGTGACTTAACCTATTAACCAACCTGTTATATGTCAGCTGGTTTATCTATGGAGATGTGATTGGTTAATTAGAATTTTTTCTGTTTCTTGTCTTTTATTTACACACAAATTGTACTTTGTGTTACTATGACCCTGATGAAGGCCAGTAGCTGAAACGGGTTGGTCAGTTAATAAAGTTGTTCCTCTTTCATTTTAAGTGTTGTTAGAGTTCCTGCGTTGTGAGTTTTTCATCCTCTCCATGCACCTTGGAAGTAGGTAAAGCTGTGCCAGAATTTTTTGCTGCGATATGATCCAATTTCAGCCTAGCTGGCTTCATATTTGATTCTAGAATAATTTGTTATACAAGTAGTTCACAGTTGACTGAATGACTGCAAGGTGCCCAGGTCCTGTAAAACAAGCCCAAATCATCAACCCTCCACCACCGTGATTTCCTTTTGAGAGAATGACTATATGAAGCTTGTGCTGGAGAACATTTAGATGTCTTTATGTCAATACGTTATGTTTAGTTGTAGATTATAGCCAAACAGCTACACTTTTGTCTGTTTGGAGTTCTTTTTGGAGAGTAGAGGTTTTAGCCTGGAAACATTTCACAAGAAGTGTTTTATTTAGTCTTTTTTTTATCTCGAGGTGTTTGCAGTTCCTCTGCTCACTGCACAGCCTGACCTTGGGTCGACTGTGTATGATGAGGAACAACCACCGCTTCTCTAAGATAGTT